TTATTATCTATAAAGTAGGATAATAAAACAGTAGGGCCATTGAAAGATTTAGAGAAAATGTAAGTATCATGTGTAATGCATGTTGCTTTGTAGGTCCTCGATAAAGTCACATGGTGGTGTTGTGATTGTAAAGTACTTAGCATCATACCTGGTTCAAACTAAGCACTGGGCAACTATTAGTTCTAGTTCCCTATTTTGTCCTTCTAGAAATCTAAACCAATCTGAAGAGTAGCAACTTGATGATCTGAACCAAGTACTAGCACGACAATTATGATGTGGTCTCAAGCATTTTGTTAAGCTACCAATGGAGGTAGAGGATAATGATCACTGCCTTTCAACACATGGCCAAGTAACCTCCTTCTTGGAATCAACTCATCTGCTAACATAAGCAAGGTTGATGCAGATAAACAGAGATACAAATTGAAGGACTACAGAACAATAAAAACAAATTATTTGCAACCCACTTTAAGGACAGCAATGTGTAGAATACAAAGACAAACAAATTCTAATTTTGCACTCAGGATTTTCAATCTGGCAGGCACAGGAGGCAGCTAGTGTACCAGCAACAACTTCATATGTGTTTTACAATGTAGGTTTAATTACCATTCAGGTATGTTGAAGCCAATAGATTAGGAGATAATTGGCACTGAAAAGATAGTTTGCTACTCACCATTCCCAAGAGGAAGGGGCACACCATATCACACAGGGCCATGTAGGGAAGCACTGGGATAAGTTAGGAGCCAGAGAAAATGAGGAAAAAATTAGGAGTGGTTTTGTGGTTTTTGTGTAAAGGAATGGGCTAGGCAGCATAAGCAGGTTTGGATTGACTAGTCTGACTATGTTCAGCAGGCTCTGGAATATAGGAATTGCTACTAGTTGCCCGATTCCTGGCCCCAGGCAGAGGAATGATGGCTTGGAGGGTAAGAGCTCTATAAAGGAAGCCGTTGGCTTAAGGGCTTTGAATTGGTTTGCATATGAAAGGTGTGCTTGTGGTTGAATCCTTGACTATTTATGGGAATTGGCTAGCTGGAAAGGGCAGTCCTTGCAGGGTCAGCAAAGCCAGTCGGTGAGAGAAGATGCAAGGGTGTCCTCCAGCTTTGGGTGTGGGGAATACATGATGGATGAGATGTTGGGCTGTGTGACTGGATTCACCCTATTCTTTAGAAAGTCTCTATTTTTAGCAGCAGGATGACAAAAGGAACATCAGTTTAGGCTCAAGTCAAAAGGAAATCACCAATTTGCTGTCGACAAAATCAACCTTCATTATAGACCATTTTCATTTCATTACTGATGTGTCTTTATTGTTATTTAGGGTTCAGTTAAATGGTTTCCAGTGTTGATTTTGTCTCTATGTCTTAGTTTTTGTTGTTGCTACTGTTGTTCTTTTAAGTTAAAAGTGGCCACTGTAGGTATTACTGTAGACCTTTGGAAGATGAAGCAAAGACGCAGAAAGATATTCCATCCTATACAGAATAATGATCCATTTGTTTCAGTGACTCTAGAAAATCAGATCCCAGTATTTTTCTTTTGGCAAAGCTATATTTAAATAATGAAAAGTGAGAAAATAAATGGAGTAGCCATGTTCATTGATAGGTTAGAAATATGTATTATTTTAACCAGGAGCTATTTGAGATCATTGTAATTTTTCATATTTAACAGTCATAGTGTGTATTATTTTTATTTCACCACACTGGCTATCATTAGAGAATGGGCTGGAAATTAAAATTTTGGCATCTTTTTAAGTCCTTTTACTGACTTGGGAGTCTATAGATCTGTGGATATTTCTGTGATGAGAATCAAGTATTCATTGCTATGTAGAAAAAATGTATTCTTGACCTGTTGCCTATAGTGAAAATCCCCATATATCAAATCATATTTTCCCATTGGCTTATATTATAAAATCAGAAATATGTGCCTCTAGATATGTTCATTTTGGGGAAAAGGACGTCATATTTAATAATTCAGCCAATGTTCCAACATACATATTGAAAATAAAAAAAGTTTTCTTATAAAGTGTATATTGTGTTCAAAATGATCCTTTAAATTTGTGCGAATAACTAATTTTGCTTTTATAAAGATTTGAAGGAAAAGAAATAGGAGCTGAAATGAAAAGTAAATACATATGAAAGACAAAAATTACTCAGCTATATATATATTTATTCTCTCAATACATGTTCATTAAGTAATTGATAGGTGTTGAAGTCTTTGTATTAGGAATCCAAAATTAATTGAAATTTGTCCTATGCCCTTTATTCTTCCATAGCTTGACAAAAATAAAGTGTCATATAAACAAACACATTCACATTATGATATGCTAAATACTCAGTAGAGGAATGAGACTGTGCTGGGGAAAAACAGCAGAAAAGATTAATTGCTTTCACAGAGAGGGTGACATCTGCACAGGGTTCTGAAGAGTGAGTAGAAGTTTAGAATAGTGAGAAAGAGTACAAACTTAGGAGCTGAACTTCCTGGTTTGAATCCTGGTTATTACTTCTTTTTAAACTAATTTATTTATTATAGAGTTGTGGGGTACAAGTGAGGATGTACTACATAAGTAGGTTGTATGCAGGTGAAGTTTGGACTTCTAGCTGGCCCTCACTCCCCATGGTAGTGGACCAGGTATCCATTATGATGTCATGTGCTCCTTGCCCTCTACCCTCCCTCTCCTAGGAGTGCCCAGTGACTACCGATTCCACCCATGTGCTAATGTGACTAACGATCAGAGCCCACTTATGAGTGACAACATGCAGTATTCAGTCCTTTGTTTCTGTGATAGTTCACTTAATATGATGGTGTCCAACTGCATCCAAGTTGCTGCAAAGGCCTTGATTTTGTTCTTCTTTATGGCTGCATAATATTCCATTGTGTATATCTTCCACATTTCCTTTATCCAGTCCATTTTTCAATGGGCAACAGGGTTGATTCTGTGTTTTTGCTATTGTGAATAGTGCAGGAATAAACATACTTGTGCAGGTGTCTTTTTAGTAGAACAATTTATGTTCCTCCAGCTATATTTCCAGGAGAGGGGTTGCTGGATCGTATGGAAAGTCAATTTTTAGTTCTTTTAGAAATTGTCACAGAGTTTCCCATGGAGGCTTAACTAGCTTACATTCCCACCAACCATGTAGAAGCATTCCCTGTCTCTGCAGCCACTCTAGCACCTGTTGTTTTTTGACTTATTAATGATAGCCATCCTTACTGGAGTTAGGTGATATCTCATTGTAGCTTTGATTTGCATTTCTCTGATGATTAATGAGGCTGAGCATTTTTTCATGTGTCTGTTGGCTGCTTGTATGCCATCTTTTGTAAAGTGTCTGTTCATGTCCTTTGCCCACTTTGTAATAGGGTTGTTTGTTTTTTCCTTTAACTTTGTTTGAGTTCTTTGTATATCCTGGAGGGCTTTGTCAGATGCATAATTTGCAAATATTTTTTTCCATTCTGTGGGTTTTCTCTTTACTCCCTTGATGGTTTCTTTTGCTGTGCAAAAACTTTTCTGTTTGATGAGGTCCCACCTGTCTAGGTTAGCTTTTGTAGCATTCACTTCTGGGGACTTGGTCATGAATTCATTGACTATTCCAATGTCCAGAAAGGTGTTTCCTACATTTTCTTCTAGGATTCTTAAAGTTCGAGGTTTTACATTTAGGTCCTTGATTCATTTTGAGTTGAATTTTGTATATGGTGATAGGTGGGGTCCAGTTTTATTCTTCTGCATGTGGTTAGCCAGTTTTCACCATCAGCTAAATATGGTCCACTTTCCCCCAGTGATTGTTATTGGTGGTTTTGTCAAAGAATAGTTGGTTGAGGGACTGTGTTTTTACATCCAGAATCTCTGTCCTATTTCATTGGTCTATGTGCCTATTCCTGTACCTATACCATGTGAATCCTGGCATTATTTCTTGAATAACCTTGGGCAAATTACTTCCTTCACTTTCTCATCTGTAGAACTTGGATGATGTTTATAGCTACATCAGAGGCTATTTTGAAGAGTTAATACATGTAAAGAACTTAGAACACTGCATTGAGTATGGTAAGGGTTCAATATATATGCTGCTACTGTTCAATCATTAAGAAGAGAGGAATGTTGTCACAAGCAGAGGGAACAGTATGCTGCATTTTTCATTCTGTAAAAAGTTCCAAATACTGCCTGCCTAGTTAATGGCTTTTACAAATGAGCAACTTAATGCAAGATGAGAAAAGAAATGGAAAAGGGGTAGAACCATTCAGATTAGAGCTATGGAGGCCCTGATTGATGAGGAGGGGAAAAAGTTACCATGTATCAGTGGTCTACTTCAAGACACTCTCTTGTGACAGTTACTTCAAGTTGTCACCAAGTTGTTACCTGATGCAAGGGAAGTGCCTTTTATATACTGGAGAATAAGTTACAAAACAGCAACAACTGAAGAAAGAAATACCTTGACTGCAGCACACTACTGAGAAGGCCCTAAGAGACTAATATGCAAATTACTACATTAGCTTATGGCACAGTAGTGCCCCCTACCTACTCAGTCTCCTGTCTCTACAGATTTATATATATATATATATATATATATATATAAATGATATTAAGAGATATGCTTAAACCCCCGAATAAAAGTATTTATGTAGGATAACCATTACAATTATGAAAGATCTCATTTGCAGAAAATAAGTTAATTAATCAGTAATGGTTACTTATTAAGCTATCTAAATCAAGATGAGGAAAGTAAAAAATATAATGGAGGATTATATAAAATTAGAAAAGAAGAGAAAATTTGCTAGCTGCCTCCTTTTTCCATGGATTCAAATAATCACTGAAGCAACCAAACTTGAATGCCACTGATTTTACAATTAACAACACATCAGGGAAGCAACCCTTCCTGAAATCCTGACTTGGACAGGCACATCATGATTATTTTAGTAATCAGTCCCTGGCTTACAGATTCCACACAGGTGATTTGTTTTATATATGAGCTTCTGTTTAATCAGACATGCCTATGTTTGTTTCTTTTTTTGTGAATTAGGAAATCAAGGAGAAATTGGATTCTAGTCATAAGCGAGATATAGAAGGCATGGGAGTTCCAGAAATCAAGTATGGTGATTCCATCTGCTTTGTCCAGCATATAGCCAGTGGACTGTGGGTAACATACAAAGCACAAGATGCCAAAACATCCCGCCTGGGACCTCTGAAAAGAAAGGTAAGGGGTCAGAATGTCTATATACAATTGTTTTACATGGAGTTGGAAGCAACTAAGTAATAGAAGTGATTCTGAGGGTCAGGTGGGCATGATTATGTTTTGCTTCTTACTATCCCAAAGAGTATTCTGTAACAGTTCCTCTAGGGCATTAGCCTAATTTGGTTACTTTGACCCCATCTTCAATTTAAAAAAAAACAGTTAAATACATAGCACATCTGTGAAGAGGAGGTGGCATTTCTTTAATGCACTCTAAAACCTAATCTAAATGACGTTTGTTGGTTTGCTGTCTCGGGATTATCCACATCATTGCTCCCTTCATTTAAGTGAATAATTGAGTTATTGTGCAGTTTTCATAATACACAGACTAAATGGAATCTCTACAGGGGAAATGCAGATTACATAATAACAAACCCACAAGAACCAACAGGCAAAAAGAAGAGATGTGGAATGATGCTGTATCCGCAGAGAATATATCCAGATTTGAGTGTGTATCATAGTCTGCTACAGTGGGAGACCAGCCTGGGTATATGCAGAATCTTTTTACCAGAAAGTCAAAGTATATCCATAATAGGATATACTTTATGGATATACTTTGTTAGGAACCAGAGAATAGATGCCAATGGTATAATTTTTTTCTTAAAACCCTTTGCAAAATATGGGTTTAGATAGTCAAAGAGTTTCCAGAATAAGATTCTAGGAGGCACTACACACTACAGTTTGGCTATATCACCCTAAAGGCGTCGTAATGAAGTTTCTCAGAATGCTGGTTATTATAACAGATGTTGAGAACAAACATAAGGTAATATCTTACTTTTGTGTAAAGCAAAACATTCTAGGAAAATATGCAGTTAAAGGAAAATGAAATAATCAAGAAGGGATAGAAAATGTAATAAATAAGAGGCCATATAGACTAACCATAAGACAAATCCTTCCTCTGAAAATAAATACAAAGGTTGGATAAAATACAAAAACAAAATACCAAGCAACGTGAAGGTTTCACCAACCAGACCACCCAAGGCATGAGCATTAAAACTTGCACACAGAATGTACGTGCATTAAAGTGAGCTCCCCCTCAGCGCGTTTGTTGATTTGTAGAACTAGAGAATGGATTCTTGTATTAGCTCTGCTGTGCTGGAGAGACAGATTAGACATAGCATCAGCCAAGGTTTCTGGGTTGTGAGGGATTAAGAGTCCAGAGCAGAGGGAATTATAGAAACATGAGCCTGGAATTCTACATGCAGTTTCCCTGGGATCCTAAGCTGCCCACGGATGGGGTGTGAGGTCAAGATAACAAACAGAATACTATAGCTATGACAGAGAAGAACAAAGCAGAGACGATGACAGCATGACAGTACTAGGGAGACACAAAGTGGGGTTCAGGGTCCCCCTTGTTGGAATGGCCCTGAAAAACACAGTAGGCTTTCAGTTGAATCTCAGAAGGTCTACACCCCAGGAATGAGGGTAACCCCTGGGAGTAAGGGCAAATTGAAAATAAATGCCCCAAAAACTAATCTATCAGAATGAAGTTAAATCCTTTATAGAGTACAGTGATATTATCTAGAGCCTCTACAGTTTCTCAAAGCTACTAAGGCAATGGTAGCATTTAAAGAAAGTGGAATTTGTGATCTTAGCTGTGACTCTGGTTGGGAAGAGATACACTCCAAGGATCTCTGTCAATGGGAGAGATCTCAATTTGTATTGTTGATTTATCGTGTCTGTCCCTGCTTTTCTCTTCCAGGACCATAGTCTGTAGATTAATTTAATTGCTAGAATGTGCATGTGAATTTGGGAAATGCCTTCAGAAACTCCTAAATGGTGTCATAATGCTCAACCCTTGACAGGCTGTACTGTCTCACTTCATAAGCAAAAGGATAAGTTTGTTCTCTCTCTAAAAACACAAAGGAAGTCCAAATCTGTGTTAAGAATTTTATGAAATGAACAAAACAGTCATCTAGAAAAACCAAAGAAGAACAAACACAGTAAAAAAACCTGAGGAATACTCACTTTGAAGGATGTTCTCCTTTCCCCTTCTCACCTGAGCTTTTTCTTGCTGCACTTGGGTTGCGGTATTTCTCTACGAGAAAAATTGGGCTGCTGAGATCAATCCAGGCTGTAACAACTTTCTAACAACTGTACCCCTACCCTGCCCCCACCACCGGTTCTCATTACTTTCTTGTTTGACTGACCAACTTGAATATGTTATCTGAACGGGTAAAAGCTATGAATTTGGGTCTTTAGGGACCAGAAATCTGGGACTGAGGCCAGAGTAAACATCCTAGCAATGCATTGCTAAATCTAAATGCAGCATCTTTAACCAGTTACTGGGAAGTTCTGACAAAATAGTGTTTTCTAAGTTAGTGAATATCCAATGGCAAGGGCATCCTTTGCTCACACTTCCACTGTAGTATATAGATGGGATGCAACATTTGCTTTTTCAAAAATTAGAATAAACTTTTGCAAGCCTGGAATCGACTTTCTATGTGAATTCACTATATCAGGAAATGCCTTCAAAAGAATAAAAAGTAAAGGCGAAATTTCCACATGGACTGGAAGTTATTTCTTTATGCTAAAAATGAGATAGACCAAACATTTTTATTCTGAAGATATTTTCTGGAGGTACATTTCATTTCATATATGTTGACATATAGACTGACTTTCAGAACCTAGAAATCATCTCTCTTTAGTTACTCCTATCAAGAGGAAACCATGCCAGGGAGCTTGAACCAGGGTCAACCCATCTCACTTCATATCTTCACATACTTGACCCTTTTAAGGTAAAAAGCTACTGATCTCTACACCAAAGCTGCTAGCCCCTCCCAAAAATTGGATTAGGCTGTACTAAGTGACCAGTAAGTGTGCTTAGCTTCTAGATAACTGATATAAGTTCAGTACTATACTGCCGCTATAACAAATGCTCACTGAACACCCATTAGAGTCTGGGAGCCATGATTAATAGTTACATGTCAATCATCTAATCCTCCAAACAACCCTCTAAGATAAGTCTATTTGCACATGGTGAAATCCAAAGCAAAGAGGGGTTAAATAACTTGCCGAAGGTTACACAGCTGGTAAGTGACATAGCAAGACTAGATAAAGGCCTACTGATACCAGAACTCATGCTTTCAAATCCTCTCTCTAGCCTCCATGGAGGGGCAAGCTACCATCTTAAGCTGCTTTTCCCAGTCCTGCAGTGAACTAACCCACAGTAGCTGTCCTTCAGCAAGAAACCCAAGCCTGATCCCCGTAAAGGGTTTTGCTTTAAGTTGTCTTCCATCTTCCCTATTTTATCTCTGGAGGAAAAAGCTCTGAACCAAGTGGAGATTTCTCCCATCTCCAAGGATAAGGAAAGGGGTTTTGTATTAATTTTAAGAGAAAAGTCTATTATAAAGTTTGTTGGCACCCTTTCAAATTGGCCATCTAGGCCCAAAAAATTTATCATAACTCATACCATGGAGGCACATAAAATTTCATTTTGATCAAAGCGCTGTGTCTCAGAAATAATTCATATGTCAATAATAGGGTGTATGGGTGAAATAACTTTGTTAATGTCCCATTTTCAAAATGGACCCAGGGGAGCTTGGCTGGAGAAAGTAGAAGAGGGATGAGGGAAGTATTGCAGGAAATGTTGACTGCCCAACTGTGGAGTAATGTGTAACCTGGACCTGCTGTCCCTTGCTCTATGGGTAGGTCATTCTCCATCAGGAAGGTCACATGGATGATGGATTAACACTGCAGAGATGCCAGCGTGAGGAGTCCCAGGCTGCTCGGATCATCCGGAACACAACAGCTTTATTCAGCCAGTTTGTCAGGTACGTTAGCTCCTTTCCTTTCTCTGCCTGGCAACTTTTACTCTGTGGTCTTCCAACTCCACCCACCCACCTCCTTCTGACACTATGAGTTTTTTCAGGAAATAATTAAACACCAGCAAAGAGTTTTACCAGAGAGAGCATGGGACTGAAACATGGTGAGCTCCTGCTAACTTTACTCTTCACCCGACAAATGCCCAGGCCCATTGATTATTCAGGTTGTGATGAATACCCAAGGTCTTTGCACGAAAATTAAAACAGCTGGAATGCTTAGGTCCCTTTTGTATTAGTGTGTAAAAGAGAAGGAATGAGGAGAAACTCCCTGTGTGCTGTGTAGAAAGGGCTTCTACATTATTCAAAATTGTTGCTATGGTTTGGATCAAAGTAGATTTGAATTGAAAGCCTTGGGTTACCCCACTATGGCTGGGATTTAAGTAGGAACAGTAACTGAACTGCTTGCTTGGATCCTAATCCCTCCAGCCTAAATAATGCTGCCAAAGCAGAACTCTGTGGATTGTTTTCACCAATTACCATGAGAAACTGATTCTGTTGTAAACAATGCAGTATTCCTAGCCATTCTTCTCTTGTAGGAAAATATTTCTAAAGCCAAGAGGGAATAAACTGCTTGTATGAATTTGTGTGAAGTGAGAACTCTTTTTTATATCTTTACTTGCTATTGGAAGACTGCGTGGATGTATATTAGATCCAAAGAATAGAGTATAGGCTAAGCTGCTGTTGCAGTTCAGGATAAATGTTTACTTCTCTTTTAAGTAATAATATAGAGTAGGTGGGTTAGGAAAAATAGGGAACGTAGGTTTGGTTTCCTTCTATCTTGCTAGTCTTACATCTCCTACAGATTCTCAAAGTGTATCCCTGGTCCAGTACATCAGCATCATCTGCAAACTTGTTAAAAATGTGAATTCTTGGGTTCCTCCCCAGACCTACTGAATAAGATACTCTGGAAGTAAGATCCAGCAAAACGTATTTTTCTCGACCCTCTAGGGGATACTGATACATGTTCAAGTATAAAAATCTCTGTCTTGGTATAGAGATCTTAACCTTGGCCTCATGTTAGATTCATCTGGGGAACTTTTATCATCTTGATGCCCAGGCTATAGCTCAAACCAATTGCATAGAATCTCTGGAGGTGGGACTCAAATGTCAGTATGTTATTAATGCTCCCTAGGTGATTCTAACATTCAGCTGCCATTGAGAACTGCTGTACAGTTATGTTTTCTTCATTCACATGGTCACAAATAACTTACTAACACCATGTCTGAGGTCTGTCCTGCAAAAAGCGGAAGAAAAAGAAAGTGGAGGATAAGCAATTTTCTATTTAAAGGATATGACTCAGAAATAGATCAATTTATCATGAGTTCCATTGACTAAAACTTAGTCTCATGGCTGTCCCTAAGTTGTTCAGGAAGGGTGAGACATATATCTCTCTGGTGGGCCCGCTATGTACCTAATGCAACTCAGACTTTCTGTTACTAAAATTGGAGAAAGGAGAGTAGATAATACAAGTTTTCCTGCCACACCATGGAACTGAGATCTGCAAATCAACAATCCTTTGTCTACTTTTGGCTCTCCTGTGATCTATGAGAAATTTTTCCTTTCTCCTTCTATGTCTCATTACTTCCAGAACCTACTTCCCTTCTTCACAGAAAGACTACAAGAATGATTGGCTTTGTATAGGCAGGAAAAGATAGCTGCATGGAAGCAAACAGGAGTATTTCATGTGGTCTCACCTAGCACCAAAATCATTACCATTGACACAGACAGTTTTATTTATCTGGCACCCAATTCTCTTAACCTATACTCTTAAATCTTTTGTAAAAGTCAGTGACCCTCTACCTCACGCAAGTATAAAAATGAGTTCAAAGTGGATCAAAAAGACCTAAATGTCAACCCTAAAGTTATAAAACTTATAGAAGAAAGTATTTCATGACCTTGGATTGGCAATGGTTTCTTAAATATAATACCAAAAGCAAAAACCACAAAAGAAAAAAGTAAATACATTGGACTAAAAAACTAAAGGCATTTCTGCTGCAAAGGGAAAAAAATCTATTAAGTGGATGAAAAGGCAACCAACCCACATAATGGAAGAAAATATTTGCAACTCATATTTGATTAACGTTTTGTGTATGGAGTAAAGAATTCTTATAACTCAATGATACAAAGACAAGTAAACCAATTAAAGACAGGCAAAAGAACTGCATAGACATTTTTCCAAAGAGGATACACAAATAGCCAATGAGCACCCAAAAAAATGGACCCAGGGGAGCACCATTAGCTATCAGGAAAATGCCAACTCAAACCACAATGAGATACCGCTTAAGACCCACTGGGATGGCTTTAATAAAAAAGATTGTTAATAATGAGTGTGGGAGCGAATGTGAAGAAATTGACAATCTCATCTACTGGTAGTAGGAATGTTAAGAAGTTATGACCACTTTGGAAGACAGTCTGGACGTTTAGCAAAAGGTTAAACTGGAGCTACCGTATGACTTCCGGGGATTTGCACAAGAGAAATGAAAACATATGTCCACACAACAGCTTGTACACAAATATTTATAACAGCATTATTCATAATAGTCAAAAAAGTAGAAAAAACCCAAATACACATCAGCAGATGAATGGATAAATAAAATGTGTTATATCCATAAAATAGAATATTATTTGGTCATAGAAGGGAATAAAATACTGACAAATACTACGATGTGAATGAATCTTGCAGACATTATGCTAAGGAAAAGTAGTCAGGCACAAAAGACCACATATTGTGGTCTTTTCACTTAAATGTCCTGAAGAGGCAAATTTATAGAGACAGAAAGTAAAGACAGAAGCAGCAGAAGGGTTTCCTAGGACTGGAGTATCTTAGAGAGAGTAACTGCTTCTATGCATGCATTTTTTTGGAGAGCTGATGAAAAAGCTCTAAAACTGATCGTGGTGATGGTTGCACAACTCTGTGAATCTACTAAAAACAAGAAAACCATTGAGTTGTACCTTTTAAATCAGTGATTGTATGATATGTAAATTATATTTCAATAAAACTTATATAAGAAGTCAGTGGGAGTTACTTGTCTGACAATGAGAAAAAATACTTTTAAACAGCTTTATTGAGGTAGAATTTACATCTCATAAAATTCATCCTTTAAGTGCACAATTCATTGAGTTCTAATTTGTTTATGGAGTTTCACAACCTTCACTATGATCCAGTTTTAGAACATTTTCATCACCCCAAAATATCTTTTATGCACACTGCAGTTTATTTTACTTGCCACCCTCAGCCCTAGGCAACCACTAATCTGCTTTCTGTCTCAACTTAATACATTAAATTAATAAATTAAATCATAAAATATATTGGGTTTTGAATCTGATCTTTTCACTTATTTTTATATTTTTAAAAGTTTATTCATGTTGTTTCTTCCCTTTTTATTGCTACAGAGTATTCACACATGTGAATCGTGTATGTGTGTGTGTGTGTGTGTGTGTGTGTGTGTGTGTGTAGAGAGAGACAGAGAGACAGATCTCTATAGACATATGAATGTAGATGCACACATCACGTTTTGTTTATTCATTACTTGATGAATAGTTGGTTGTTTCCATTTTTCGGTATTGTGAGTAATGCCATTATGCATATTATTGTAAACGCTTTCAGATATGCTTTGTTCCTCTTGGGTAAGCACTTAGGAATGGAATTACCGAATCATTTGTAAAGTTGTATCTTTTTTTTTTTTTTTTGAGTTGTAAAGTTGTATCTTTTTTTTTCTTTTTTCTTTTGAGTTTGTCACCCAGGCACACTCACAGCCAACCGAACATTGACCTTCTGGGCTCAGACAATCCTTCCGCCTCAGCCTTCCAAGTAGCCAGAATTACAGGAGCGTGCTACTACGCCCAGCTAATTTTTTATCTATTGTAGAGATGAGGTCTCTCCAAGTTGCCCAGGCTGGTCTCAAACCCACGGACTCAGGCAATCCACTTGCCTTGACTTCCCAAAGTGCTGGGATTACAGACTGAGTCAAGCTGGCCAGTTGTATCTCTTAAATTTGTATTTCTTAAATTTGTATTGCTTGGTGTGGTAAACTATACATCACATAAAGTTTACCATTGTAGCCGATTTTTTTGTAGAGACAGAGTCTTGCAATGTTACCCAGACTAGTCTTGAATTCCTGGCTCCCGCCATCCTCTACCTTATATCACCACTATCCATCTCCAGAATTTTTTATCATCTCAAGCTGAAACTCTACTTATTATATAACTCCCCATTTTTCTTTCCTCCTAACCCCTTATAACTTCACTCTACTTTCTTTCTCTATTAATTTAACTATTGTAGGTAACTCATATAGGTAGAAACATATGATATTTATCCCTTTATGTCTGGCTAATTTCACTTAGCAAAATGTCTTCAAGGTTCACCTATGTTGTATCATGTATCAGAATTTCTTTCCTTTTTAAGGTAGAATAAACTTCCATTGTATGTAAATACTATATGTTGTTTATTCATTCATCCTCAGTGGACTTTTGGGTATATTTAACTTTTCATGAAACTGAAAAGTTATTTTCCAAAGTGTATATACCATTTACGTTCCCCTCAGAAATGTATGAAGTTATAGTTTCTCTATTGCCTTTCCTAAATTTGTTATTTTCTGACTTTTTTATTGTAGCCATAATAGTGCATATGAAGTAATGTGTCATAATTTTTTTAATTTGCATTTCTAGAGTGAATAATGATATTAAACATCTTTTCATGTGCTTATTAGCCATTCATAAATCATCTTTGGTTTAAAAAAAAAAAAAAAGTAAATTTTTTCCCTTTTATATATTGGGCCATCTGTCTTCAAATTAATATTTGAGAGTTCTTTGTATCTTCTGGTTGCAAGTTGTTGACCAAATTTATGATTTGGAAACATTTGCTCCCAATCTGTCTTTTCTTCTCTTTTTTTTTTTTTTTTTTTTTGAGTTGGAGTCTCACTCTGTCTCCTAAACTGGAGTGCAGTGGC